CGTCTTTGCAACGCCATGCCCACTGTTTCCTTCCGAATATTTTCTCGTAGTCAGGCCGACACCTTTATACTTAGTGGGATTTGGCTTCGCGCATTTCATTGGCTTCTTATAGGAGGAGTGGCTGCACAGCGACTCGGTTTGGCATCGCCCTGTGGTTCATGCAAGCATCGGAGGCTTGCTCGGCGCGTAGGTTTCGCGGTTTAGCACGATATACCTGGTGTGCTTGGGGGAATCTGGGGTGCAAAAAAACACGCGGTTAGGAAAAGAATGGTCTTGGCTACGAGCGTTGTTTCTGATGAGGCGATGGGGAGTTTGGCCCACGGTTTTGGGAGTCAGTAATATTCGAAACAGACCGATCATTGAACTGATGAAGGCAAACTAAACTGACTCGCGTGACCATGGCATGTCGACACGTATGAATCCCCTCTTCTGACAGCTCAGCTCCAGCAAAGCACAGCAGACTAGCTTCACATCTCCGCATCTAGAGACCTCCACATAATGGAGAGGCTGACGTAATTTTAAAGCCAAGATATTTAGGGTTCGAGTCTGATAGCTGCTGTCATTGGGCGTAGAAGCCGTGGAAGCTCCTCGTACGTAGCTAGTGCTGTGTTTAAGCTGCAGCATGATATCTTCATGACCTATGAGTGGAACTTTATTTCCAAGTACTTTAAGCCCAGCACCTCCTCTTTCAAACTCTACCTAGAGATTATCCCCTCATTTGACAATCTTATTAAACATTGACGATATCATCATAACAATCATGTCTTCTATTGATCTGAGTGCTTTCCCCGCAGCAGCTCCGGCAGCTTCATCATCTGAAATTCGTTACGCAGATGTAAGTCAGCTTAGTACCCTACATGGCATTTCTGACAGTTTAGGTCGCTGTTACAGCTACCGCGAAAGAGTTCAAGGGTATATACCGCGAAGATAAGCAGTACCACGAACCAGACTTTATCAACACCCTTGACCGTGCCAAAGATGCTGGCGTCAGTAAGATTATGCTGACGGGCATGTCACTCGCCGACGTGTCGCACAACGAAAGTATCGTCAAGCTTCGTCCCTCGCAGTGTTACTATACCATTGGCGTACATCCATACCATGCTTCTGAGCTTGACGCCGGTGGAAAGTCATACCTTGATGAATTGGAGCAGAAAGTGAACAGTGCCCTTGCGCAGGATACGCCACATATCGCTGCCTTTGGAGAACTAGGTCTTGACTACGATAGAGAAGAACACGCTTCGAAGGACGTTCAGAAGAAAGCGTTCAAAGCGCAATTGGACTTATTTGTCAAGAATAGCTGGGATCTTCCACTCTTCTTACACTGCCGCAATGCCTTTGACGACTTTGTCGAGATGATTTCACCATACATGGAGAGGCTTCCCCGCGGCGGTCTAGTACACAGCTTCGTCGGCAGCACAAGCCAAATGGAGAAGCTCGTATCCCTCGGATTAGGCATCAGTGTCAACGGGTTCAGTTTCCAGAGCACAGAGAGTTTGGAGATGGTATCCAAGATACCGCTCGACGCACTGCAGCTGGAGACGGATGCGCCGTGGGGAGAATTGAAGGGCGATGTGGTGAAGCGGTACTGCGAGAATGCGAGACCGTTGCCGGCGTCGAAGAAGAGGGATAAGTGGGATGCTAAGTGCTTGGTTAAGGAGAGGAATGAGAGTTGCTACATGGAGCGTGTGGCGCTTGTTGTAGCGGGTTTGAAGGGTGTTGGGGTTGATGAGGTTGCGGAAGCGGCGTGGAGAAATAGTGTCAGGATGTTTGGGCTTGGAAGAAGATAGGGCCTGTTTAATTGGAATATAGGTGAATAATTTAATATTCATAAATGTCTTATGATAAAGATGTCAGTATTTGTAAAGGCCCTATGGCGAGATTGGGGTGACAGTAGAGCTGTCGAGGCCGGTAATTCTGAGCAGTTGGCTACCTCCGTATGGTACTATAATGACCTATGTTTATTGAATCTACCTAATACCGTCGTTCATGGTCAATTGGTCCAATTTCTGCAGTACCAGACTTGTTATTCTGTTCAACAGATGGTGCCTCTACAGCTCCAAACCACCTGTAGCATCTAATACTACCAGGAACCTAGAAGATAGCCAAAGCATTCGGAGGCGACCCAATCAATCCAGGCTGATTCAAAGGAGTCGAAGTGATCATAAACGAATACCTCTTCTTCTCCTTACAATACCTTGCCAACTCCTTCAGATCCCACAACTCGCCGATCGACATACCAAACATGTTCAAGCAGTACATATGAAGCACTGCACCAGTTAGCTAACATCCACTGTCTCCCAAACTTGAAGTCAAAGAACAACTCACCGAGATCTTTCATTCCACCGACAGAACCATCAGGTTTCAATGGGGGATACGCTTCAAAACTATTCGAGTCCGACGCCGCAGCAGCGAAGCGCTTGTTCCACAGCCATCGAGCCGTTTCTTCACAGCCATGGAGACCTGTGAGTCTCGCAGCGGCCATTTTACCCAGATCAGCGGGGTCCATGTTATCGACTACTTCGGTCGCGCCTGTTCTGACGATGAGAATGTCACCTGGTTGGAACTCGACTTTTTGATGGGCAGCACAAGCCTCGAGATCTTCAACCGTGATGCGGTTCCCATCAAAGGCATGGAACTCGATGCCTTTTTCTTCAGCGTGAGAAGCGTAGTCAATTAGAACGCCTCGGCCAGCGATGCAGCCTCGCGAGTGCCAATGGTCCAGGGTTGGCATCTTGTTGGACTCGGTTGAGTCAATTGACAGTGCTTCTTTATCGGGATTCGCGCCGTTGTATGCCAGTCCTGAATCTTGGTGCTGGAAATGGCACAGGCTATCCCATTGGCTGCTACACTGCGTGTTGAAGGATAATTCATCGTCCCATGATTTACCCTGTTCGAAAGGAAGGGCTGCCATACTCTCGGGTATATAGAGGATCTTATGCTGAGCAGCGAGTCGCCCGGGGATGTTGAGCTTGTTCATAGCATTGAGCGGCCAGCTACCAAATATCAGCATCTAATAGTCAGTGGGCGTTTTCAAGAGAGGTACTTGAGAGATATAGAGACTCCATCTTCGATCTCGAGAGCGGCATTTCGAACAGCATCTGGAGTCAGAAAGTTCAGTGTTCCAACCTGATCCTTTTTCCCATCACGATCAAAAACACCCCAGGCACAACCCTTTGGCATGCCTTCAACCGGGGGGAGGTCATCAAAATCGGGCACAGAGTTCATATTGAAGGGCATTGTCATTGCTGGGAAGTCAAGAGATGGTGAATTGAAGCGGTGAGGTTGGGGACGTCGCTTGTTTTATACCACGTCGCAAGCCAACCCCAATTCTAGACATTGCATGTTGATTAAGCTGCATTGGGTTCAGAAATACTGCAGCCTGCTGCATCGTATCGTCGTTTTCGCAAATGAGTATCCACTGGCTCTTGTCAGCCACTTCTCCAGGGTATGTAGGCAGCCGTTTAAGAGTGAAACTATTCCCAGATTCATGCCGAGGGGTGAGTACACGGCATTTGCGAGGGGGACAATACGAGATTTTTATAAGAATATGAAAATATTTGTGTGATGGTGTCGTAAGTAAGTTAAATGTGCTATTAGTATAGCGTTTCCAGGTTATATCCCAACTTTTTGTAATTGAATAGATACATGATGATGTTCTATGCAAGCTTCGAAACTTGATCGTGTTTACTTCATACGACCAAGTCTCTAGTGCCTGAATTTTGCTAAATATTATCCTATGAGCATAGATAGATGTCTGGTTCCTCATCTTGCGCAAACAGCGAAGTGCCTACCAGTATGTCGAATATCACCCAGCTGCATATTCATCCTCCAATATCGAATGCCACTCTCGGTCTTAGACCTGCAGACGGCCGAGGTTATCAGGCTGGTAGGGGACACTGAAAATGAAATCTTGGGATATAAAGGCACCTGAAGCCCGAGTCGAAGGATGTTTCGGGCGCAACTCGTTTGAAAGCGTGGGTCATATCGGTCGAGTTTGAGCAAGGGGAAAGGTAGTTATAAGAGTGATGAAGCATAAAGACTATGACTACATCTGGCATATCCTGAGAACGGTGCAGTATTGGGCCTTGAAGCCTCTGTGGGAAGTGTAAGTTGCTCTATCAGTCTCGTAACGGAACGACACCGCCGGCGCAGGCAAGTCAAGATCAACACCGTGCCTTGAACGTAGTTTTTCAAACAACGAAGGATATCTGAAGAATTAATAATACGTAAGAATGGCTCTGATTGTTTGCAAAAGGCCGAGATTGCAGACCGGTGCTGTCTAACGATAGGGATGAATGCTGCCTATAAGGTTAAGCTTTAGGCCGGTGCTGTCTAAAAGTTCTCAAGATTGGCATTCTGGATCCAACCCAGGCACGAATACGAAACACCAGTGTTCAAAACGGTCGAAGAGCTCCGGAAAACATAGGAAAGTCTAGAATCTCTGAACAGAATCTGACACAATAGCCGATGCCTCAAATAGCGCACACCGTTAGCGAGCTGCAGGGACACCCGCAACTCAAAGGCCCAAATAGGGCAGCTCACAACAATCCGATTGGTGCAGATAAGTTTCCATATATCTAGATCAGATCAGATCGTTATCTTGAGCGGTTATTCCCCCGTAATAGACTGGAATGCGTAACGGTGAGTGGCAGTTGATAGTCCTCGCATTCGGATGTGGAGTTCGTATTCGTACTCTGTTTCACAACGTCAACAGAAGGGTCACAACAGCGGCATATACAGCTCTTGTTCGTTTTCGCAAAAGGATTGTATCATAGTTGTAGGAATCAATGGTTAGAGCTTGGATAGAGTATGGAGCTGGGAAGTAATCTGGAATATCAAAGGACCAGCGTCCTTTGTATAACGGCTGCAGGTTTTCAGATTTCTATTTAAGCAGGAACAATTCTCCTCAAACGAAAATCAGACCACTCCAAGTTCACCAATTCTTCAGTTTATCTCTTTAATTCCAGATATCTTCACTCCGAATCTCTCGAAACTCCAGAATGTCTTCCTCAGAGCTGATTTCCTACGACGAGGCTCAGAACTCAGCCTTCGACAATGTCCTCCATCGAAAATCAAAGGAGTCAAAGGGCGGAATGCGAGCCATGATAAACAAGGACAAAAAAGCACACGCCGCAGCTGTGGATGAATACTTTCAGTTCTGGGAGAACAAGAAAGCTGAAGATGAAGTTGAGGCTGTACGACAGGAGAGAACTGACAACTACGCCAGTTTGACAAGGCAGCAAGTTCCCTTAAGCTCTGGCCTTTTCCGGTTACTGACTCTGAGAAATTAGGTATTATAACCTCGCAACAGATCTCTACGAGTACGGATGGTCTCAGTCTTTTCATTTCTGCCGGTTTGCCTACGGCGAAGATTTCAACCGCGCTATCGCTCGACACGAACATTATCTCGCTCATAACATCGGTATCAGGCCTGGTATGAAAGTCCTAGACGTTGGATGCGGTGTTGGTGGACCTGCTCGAGAAATCGTCAAGTTCACTGGTGCTCATATTACTGGGTTGAATCTCAACGAGTATCAAGTCCAACGGGCAACTATCTATGCCGAGAAGGAGGGACTTTCTGATAAGCTCAAGTTTGTGCAGGGAGACTTTATGGTGAGTTGCATTTAGTTGACTCTATTTTACTTACTAATGACGTGGTAGAAAATCCCGTTCCCGGATAACTCTTTCGACGCCGTCTACGCTATCGAAGCAACCGTCCACGCACCCTCCTTGGAAGGCGTCTACAGCGAAATCCGTCGAGTCCTCAAACCCGGCGGTATCTTTGGCGTCTACGAATGGCTCATGACGGATACATACAACAACGACGATCTGGAACAGCGCCGTATCCGTCTAGACATCGAACAAGGCGACGGTATCGCGCAGATGTTCAAGATCGACCACGGCCTATCTGCCATCCAAGCCGCTGGTTTCGAGCTCCTCCACCACGAGGACCTCGCAGCTACAGATGACGGTACAGCACCGTGGTACTGGCCTTTGGATAGTGACATGAGATATGCGCAGACAATTGGCGATTTTTTCACGGTTCTGAGGATGAATAAGTGGGGGAGACTTGTGATGCATAATGTGATTGAGGCATTGGAGGCTTGTTGGATTGCGCCGAGGGGGACGAGGAAGACGGCGGATAGTCTTGGTCGGGCTGCGGATGCGTTGGTTGAGGGCGGGAAGCGAAAGTTGTTTACGCCGATGTACTTGATGGTTGGGAGAAAGCCGGAGGAGTGTAAGTGATGGTGAGTTGGTGAGGCGTGGATAGGAGGCAATGGAGTACCGTTCAACGGTGGAGGAGTATTGGTTGAGGGTGACATATACCCATAGAGATAAATATCAAGAAATCAGTATTAGCCTACAAGATCAAGCAAAATGTTTCATTATTAATCGGATTTACTACTTTCGCCTCCTTATGCATTGCTGAATCTCGATGCCCATAAGCCCAGGGTCGCATTCACTCTGTAAGCGATAGGGCTGGCCGCATCATACCCCCATAGCAATGAGCAAGTATTAACTACGAAAAGCCATAAGCGGACTTAACATCAGTCAGAAATATGTAATCCTCCAATATCCGCTCATCATAATATCCAAACCCGCAAGGTCCCATGTTATCAGAGTCCCCACGTGTTGAAAGCTTATCGATAGGGCTTAGATCTCCAGCGGTCCCGTACATAAGCTTTGATCCACTACAGATAATCTCACCAAGCCTCCGAGACCGCGCGTCAATGACCGATTACCACGGGAAGAACAACTCCCGGGGTGGGAACACTCATCCTATGACCCTGTGAATAGGAATTCCTCAAGGCGCAGCTTGTTCGGAAAATGAGGAATCCGAGTTATCATCACTCTGTGTTTTATTTTTACTGCCGTGCGCGCGCTGAAATCTCGGGATAGCTCAGCGGGATCGGGGGGGGGGGGGGGGGGGGGGGGGGGCTGGAGCTGGGGCCGATGTGGGACAGGGCTGAAATACGATTGTTTCAGAATGGGGAGCTTTATTCTCAAGATTTAGTGATTAAAAATGCTAAAAAGACGGGATAAAAAAGACAAGGCTTGGTATTGTAGATGATTACGACATTGCTTTCTAGGCATTGAAGCTCACAGCTTGTTTGGGAGCAAGTGATCACCAATGCCCAGCAAATGGAAGCGGCCGTCTCACGTCATCATCATAGTCGTGGCGGTATAGCTTAGACCCTTCGCATCACTCATCAGTGGCTGGCCGCCCCCTGCTTGCTCTCTGCAGCCTTTTTTTTAATCCCCGTGGTTCCCCCCCTCTTATTCATTTTCCCTCCCCTCTCTCTGTTTTGCGAGTTTAGCTGGAACACGGGCGAAACAATTCCAGCGATAAGAGCAACATTGACGAAACGAAGCTGCTACGGATATACGACAATTTATGAAAGACACGGCATTTCACGACTGAAAAGGACGATAAAACGATAATATTGCTATTGGTTAGCTATTTGGAGCTCGATCGATATCGTGGCGTACCTTGCAGCTGAAACATACGAGACCCGAGATCCATCAAGCCACGATGTTGAAAAAGAAAGAAACCCTCACCATCATCACGCCCATCCCGGGCTTCATCCCGCGACAACTCGCCATCGATCTTCTTCACTCCCACGGCGAGATCATCACCCTCAACCCCCTCGTCCTGTCGCACAAGCCCATCCCCGCCCCTCGCCATGCCGCCGCCGACGAGTACTACAGCACCTGGTACGAGATCACAGAGCGCATCCAGTACATCCCCGGCCTGGGAAAGATAGGATCCGGAAAACTTACCTTCAATGGATGCTTTCACGATATGCCGTGGGGCATGCAGTCCCATATTTATATCCCGCTCGGTATCGACATGCGAAACAAGTACCGCATTATGGGGAACCAGCCGGGCCTTGAACCGCCGGAGCAGCCTGAGCTTGGACTTGAGCAGCTTGGTGCGCCCAAGGAGGGGCTTTATCTTCGCACCGATGTTGAGCTCAAGTGTAACATCACGTTGATGGGCTTCGTCAAGGCGGAGTCGAGAAAGGCTAGTGTTGATATGGTTAACCGTATGGTTAAGAAGGCGGAATTGCTGGACGCTGGTCTTTTGAAGGCCATGTTTGAGGATGGAAAGCTGAAGACGTACAACCCTAATGATCGATCCGAGGCGAGTCAGGCGAGACAACAGGCTTTGAGACAGCAGACTATGCCGGAGGGTCAGTTCGCTGCTGCTGCTCCGCCTGGTCCTGGGCCCATGAGCCCAGGTCCATCTTACGCTCAGCCCTACGCATATGCTCAACAGCAACAACAACAACAACAACAACAACAACCTCATCTGCAGCCCCAGCCTTCACCAACATACCCCTATGCCCGTCCCGACGCCAACAACTCCCAATATCCCCCCCAAAGCCCATACGGCTACCATCCAGGCCAAACACCTCCCCCCAACGCCCAATACCAACAACAAGCACCACCCGTGCCTCCAAAGACCAACATCCAGAGCTTCCCTATGGAACTACCCGGCGATTACTACCATCCACAGCAATCACCAAACCTACAACAACAGCCCAGTCCCGGACATCCTCCCAGCACCTATCGCAATTCCACGGGGTCGTATGACCCGCGGTGGTCGCAGTCTAGCCCGTCAGCTGCTGATTCGCACCGCGCGAGTATGTATTCGCAGCACTCGGCCGGATATCCGTCGCCGGCGCCTGCGCAGCAGAGTTTTGCAGCGGAGTTACCGTCGCATAATGAGACGTCGGAGGAGCATAGACATTGAGGAATGGGAATTGGGTAAAAGTAGCCGGTCATTTTAGTGATGATACATGGGATAGGCGTTTTGTTTGGGATGGATTTGGATGTCGATACCTTTTGCTAGTGAGTCAACGATGAGTGGAAGAATATTTGGAGAGAACAAGCAGTGTATTTGAGTCTATTGACGCTGAGGGTGTTGATGATACCCTTTTCAGATAATATTGAAGAATTTGCGATTGACATTGGCTTGCGTGAGGTTGAGTCCCATCGCTGCTATGTAAATATCTCCTTTGGGTGACGTGAGGAAGTCAAGTAAACGGCATTCAGCTCTTACTATGATGCCAAACTACTAACCTATTATTCTAGCGGTACCTTAGTTATTTGCGAAACCCGACATTCGGGTCGTTGCCGGCGAGAAAGAATGGCCCACTTGACGGGCACAATATCATCGCAGTAGCTACCTAGGTACATGCCTTACTGGCAGCTATTCCTTCCTACATTTCACAGTCTGGTCTTAGGGGAAAGCACAAACAGAGATCAAAACTGCCTCTATCTATGTAGTCGATCGCTGCCTCAGGCTAAGCCTCAGGGTGCCATGCTAACTCGGGTGATGAGGGCTTGATCTTTCCATTTCTCCCTCGAGATTGTCAAGGGGATGCAATCAAACTTAGGACCTCTAACCTACCTATAGGTAGGTAGGTGATAAAGAGCCTTAGGTAAACTTAGGTAGGCAAACTTAGTATATTCCTACCTTATATAGAGGATCGTACACTACCTACCTAGTGTAAGGTATTAGGTAAGTAATTTTGACACCTTCCTTAGTTTAACGTCAGAGGTCTTCTTACGCCCTGAGGATTGTTTCTCTGCACACATCAAGCCAAGATTCTTTCATCATCACTTCATCCATCATCATCATCATCATTCCATCCATCCGTCCATCACCAGTCACTTACTTATAGGAACAACCCAAAATGTCCAACCATTCACAGAATATCGACAATACTTTACCTCTCCACAGCGTCCATCTCCGGAACATCCAGTCGGAAACTCTGTTATTTCCCAAGCAGGATCTCCATAAACGGGGCGTGGTTTACTACTGGACCGAAGATGACCAGGAAGAGTTTAAGCTAGAACCCGTACAGCCCAAGACCCGATTTGGCTTGGAAGAAGGCACTGACAGTTATAGGCCAGCGATACCCCTGATCACGTCACTCCTCACAAGAAATCCCACTACCGAGAGCCACCCTACGTTGCAGGGGAGTACAGAAGAGTTCTGACCCTGCTAAAGCACCCCGGTCACCCGTTTGCGGTCGTCTTACAGGCCATGAAAGCGTCGAATCCTGAATAGAGATGCGATAACGTCGATATCATCGCCCAAAGCGATCTTCTAAGCATGCTCTACTTGTGGATCCGGGAAGTTGACGACAAGAGCTTTGTAATGGATGCGTCACTGGTCAGAAATACGCTTTTCCTCACACTCTTTAAGGACGAAAAACCACACAGTAACGAGACTACCTTTGCGCCGTCTCCGACCACAGTCGGTCAACATCATATTCTGGAATACTCTTTTGCGGGCTTCAACTTGGTCGTCACCTCGCCCGGCCACCTTATTCGCAACGGAGGCGAAGAACGCTTCGCACGGATAATTACGTCTGATCCCGAACCCGAGGAGGGTTCCTGTCCCCGTTTACTCTCTCTGCTGTGGTTCAGCGGAACCCACACGTGGGTATCTGGATCTGTTTCTGACGGAGTGTTTAAACTTAGAGTAGACGGCTTAAAGTGTGCCAAGAAGAATATAAGGAGTTGGGAGAAGTTAGGCAGGACGAAAAAGGATATGAGGATCGTGTTTCGGCTCCTTCAGTACGTGCGGATGGTCACTATGGACCAGGTGCCTTCCAGGTCGTGTTCAATTCGCTTCAATGCCAGTGGCGGTCGCAAATGGTTAGAGGTCTACGCTGCTTCGCGGGTACAACAGTTGCCTACTTTGTTTGGGGAGATTTGGGGTGAAAGATAGGTGCCCTTCTGAGACGGAGCGTTGCATTATCGAGAGTATCAGGTATATGAAGCACTGGTAGACGTAGCGGTTAATGAAAGAAAACTCAAGACTTCTATCCTAAATGACCAAAAGATTTAGGTGATGTAGCCTAAGCTTAGGATAACTTTTCCTGAGTTTATTTGACACCCCATATCATGGCCCGTTGTGCCCTCCACGGCCAGTTATCATTCCATCCACGAAGGCACTTGTGTCAACCCTCTCATCTCCTCAACAGTCTCCTCCCACAACAACTTCCTTATCCTCATTCCCTCCTCCGACGGTACAAAATCACCCAAATCCGCAACCTCCTTATCCCCCAACAGCTTTCCATGCGTTTCTTCACCCACTACAAGCGCAGCATGCAATCCGATCCAACCCGCCTTGTCGACCGATCTCGCACGCAGAGCTTTCAGCAGCAGCGCTGGAAGGCGGATATAAACAGGGAGAATATCTGTCAGAGATGTGTCAACCATACCAGGGCAGAAGTGGTTGATGGTGACTTTCTTTGGAGGATAGCGATTCGCGAGTTCGTGTTGGAAGAGAAGAACGAGAAGCTTTGTGTCGCCGTAGCGGGTGAGAGGGGGGACGACGCCTGGTGCGTCGAAGTGTGCAAATATTCCTTCGTTTTTCTTAAGGGGGACTTTGCTAGCGAGACTTGTTTGTAAATACATGCGACTTCCTGTCCATGTAATGCGTGTAGGTGCTCCCTCAAGCTCAGCGGTATGTTCAAGAGTAGGCAGAAGAAGCAGAGTCAAGAGAACATTAGACAGGTAATTAACCTGAAGGTTCTTCTCATGCCCAGTAGGTGCAAGTTCAAAGTTAATGTCACTTATACCAGCGTTCAACATCAGTAAATGGAGTTTCCCATGCTTGCTCGTAAACGTCTCAGCGAAAGCCTTCACACTAGCGTAGTCCGTCATGTCGAGCTTCATCACTTGGACAACAGCTTTGGAATTGATAGCCGAAATTGCCGTTCGTACTTTTTCGCCCTTGGAGATATTCCGAACTCCGAGTATCAAATTCGATAGATTGAGACTGAGGAGTTGGCGAGAGAGTTCGAGACCAATGCCGGCTGTTGCGCCTGTGACGATGGCTGTTTTGTTGGTGAGGTCGATACCAGGCGGTAAAGGCTCGAGTTTGGGCTGTCTGAGAGGAGGCATTTTGAGATCAAAGGATGTGCTGGAAATTATCGAGGGAATATGTTGAATTGGTAGCAGAAGGAAAAGCTCGGAGTCTTGATCATCATCTCTCGTTGGGTTATGTGGTGCTTCTTATATCAACATTTCGAAACCTCCCCAGTCTCAATTGAAGCTGCGTCAGTCCCCATTACAAATCTTTTATTTCTACGGTTTATTGTCACTGACTAATTTATACCCGACAGGTTGTACAAAGTCGCCGAAGAATGTTGGTTGAATCCCGACTCCACCAAAGTCCGCAGTGGTGAACTCCGAGACTCAACTCCTTCTCTTTCAGTGCTTATCGACAACAGACGTACCACGACCAAGACTATGACCACCACGGTCAAGGGGGCGAGAATTGCTCTCAAGCCCAAGTCTGTCATGAAGAAGACTTCTAGCATTTTTATCATCACGGTAACGGAATATGGGCCGCTGGTCACGGAGACTGAGACGGAGACTTTGACTGCGTTGAGGGCTAACCTTACTCCGAGGACGCAGACTCAGACAATCCCCGAGACCGGTGGGTACAAGGCCTTACTCTTCAATAGTCGTGCTAATATGTATAGTGACTGTTGAATCCATCCTTCCAGCTGATCCCTTCTACGCTGCCTGTTCCTCCAACAATCTCGCCAGCACGGCCAACGGCCAACGGTGTTAGGAGAATCGCCGACTATAACGCCTGGACCTACAACAGACCGATTTCCATCTCGGGTTTGACTAGCGCTTATGCGCGCTGTGTTGAGTGCCAGAAGAAGCAGAATTACTTGATGAGTCGGTCAAGTGCAGGTGGTGCATCGTGCTGATTGTACTTGACGCCTAGTGATAATGCTTATTCGGCGCAGATTAACTGGTTGACTTATCGCACTGATAGTGGTGTTAGTGTGGAGTGGACTTATAGTAACGGACCTTGTGGGAGGGCTGTTAATGAGTGGGTGTCATCTTGATCATCGTGGGTGTTGAGCTTGACGTCGACATGATAGTTATATTGAAGGGGTCACCACAACAAGCAAGCAGCGCAAAAGAAGAAAATAAATTATGGATAATCAACGAATATTAGAATGTAACGATCATATCAACTCGTCGTGAGACCGCCAGAGCCATTGGGGTTCTCTGTCATTACTCAATGAGAACTTGCTTCTCCTTCTTCAAGCTCTCAACGAAGCTAATCGACACATTGAGAGTCTGAGCGACAACATCAGGAGGAGTCAAAGCAAGCCACTGAGTCAATGAGATATCAGCAACACGGTCAGACTTGTAGACCTCAATCCAAATAAGATCCTCATCTTCCGAAGTATTCTCAATATAGTGTCTGCACCATATCAGCATCATATTCACACACACGGACGAGAAACTTACCCAGAGTTATCAGGAAACGCAGCAGTATCACCCGCCGAAAAGTCAAAAGTCCTCGCCGCAGCATTCCCAATAAACACCGTCGCTCTCGCCTGACCCTGATGAAAATACAGCCACTCCTCTGCATTAGGATGCCAATGCAACTCCCTCAGACCACCTGGCTTGAGCGTCACAAACGTCGCAGCAAGAGTCTTTGAAGCTGGGAAATTTGTCGAGTCGATCTTCCAGAACTTACCACCCGTGCCGCCGATCTTTTCAGGGTCGTGCTGGAACGTGCGGTACACGAAGGAGCTGTTTCCTGAGAGTTTACCGGCCGGCCCGTCGGTCACGTTGTGCTTTGTGGGCGTGCCGGGGAGGATGTAGGGGTTGGGGGCTGTGACGTTTTCGAAGACGGAGGCGTTGACGCCGAAGTTCTTGGCAAGGATGGACTTGGGGGTGTGGTTGATCCAGTCGTCGACCATGAAGGTGGTGCTGGGCTTGTGTTAGTGGTGTTGTGGGATGGATGTGGAGGTGACTTACCCGATCTTGTCAAAGTCGGCTTCGTCAAAGACTAGGAGATACTCGTTCTCATCGGCGAGGCCTTGGACGGTGTGGGCTGCGCCCTTGGGGAAGTACCAGATGTCACCGTAGTTGAGAACTTCTTCCTGGTATCGCCCGAATTCGTCAACGGCGGAGATGAGGACGGAGCCGTTGTAAACAATGCCCCATTCGGCCTGTCAAGTGAGCATTTGGTGGTTGGCATGGAAATGTGAGACTTACGACTTTATGCCAGTGAAGTTCTCGGATGGCACCCTTGACGAGATGCTGCTGAGCGCCAGAGATGTCATGGCTAGAAGGTAAATCTTGGATGACCTGTTCACGAACCCAACCGCCCTTCAAGAGACGAGTCTTGGAGTCGGAGAAACTCCATTTGAGATTGGGAACAACGCCGTTGTCAGTGGGCTGCTGGCCAAGGTTATCTGGGTTCTGGAGGTCAAGCTCCTTGTTTGTGCCGCCTGGTCACCGTGTAAGTATGTGGTGAGAGTAAGAGAGCATCGGATATTTCGAGCTTACCTAGAAGAACAGCACCTTTGCCCTTTCCATCATAAGGTTGGCCTTTGTCAAAGCCGGGCTGCTGAGTGTCCTTTGGGGCTGCAGCAACGATGTTTGACCCAAGGCATAGAGCTAGGGCAGAAGAGAATAGCGACGCGCCCTTCATTGTAGCGATAAACAAAGACCCAAGACGAACAAGCCGAGAAATGGGAGTGATGAGAGGATGGATGAAGAAGGTAGAAAGATGAGGATTTTTGTCCCACCAGCGACGTCTTATATCCTCAACACCACAAGCTTCGTCACGACATCATGCATACAGGCACATCCATCAAACTGGGAAATTGCGAGAGGCGTAGCTGAATGGCAATCACACCTTGGGTACTTACACAAATGACACTACGACAAGTCGCGTTGTCTCAAAGAAACAATGATCGGCATAGCTGCATGAAGCTATCAAGGAAATTGCTGTACGAATTCTGAGTGTGGATGGCGTTTGCTTACCCTGAACACGACCATTGAAGACTCAAGGTACATCAGATAATTGCTTTCATATAAAATGTAATTATACATTTTGAGATCTCTGTTAAATGTATAATTAAATCTCATGAATATTTCGAGTGAATAAATTCTGTAAATATTTTCTTATACAAATCTTTAGTTGGTATCTGGGAACAATGCCTTGATCTCTGTCCAATGTAGCCCTCTACCGCACGTACCTATCATAGCCAAGCGCTACTGATGATCGACACTCCGCCTGCCAAGACGGATATAAGCGCGATGCCGGACCAGGATTAATGTAGATCTGGGGTTGACGACATAATTAGTGGATTAAACGCCATCGATCCGCCTTGTTTTAGTGCGGCTCAACGTGGGTTTGGACGAACCAGGGCCCCACGCTATAAGCATACATTTATGGTAATTGTAGTGTTGTATTGCCCGGCTTTCGGCACGTTCCTCAGTATCGCAGGGCCCCCATGACTTCTCAGAAGCTCATATCTCTTGATAGTGAATCATTTTCCTCAAACGCAGAACGACATAATAATTTGGCACATTGTTTTTTTTGTAACACCTGGTATCGCAGCGCGGAATGGCTCGCCGCGAAACTAACGGCCCCTCGGCGTGGATGCCTTCGCAGCCTTGCAAGGATTATACTCGCAATCCAGACTAACAAGACGTCTTCCCAGACAGCCAAAGCACTCTGAAGATCTCCCACAGATTCAGCCTAGCGAGGAAACAAACGTATAAGTCATTTCCCAAAGGAGATGTTTAGTCTGTTACCCCCACCGATATTTCCAACTGCCGGGGATTCGTGTCAGGGGCAGTTCAGCGCGCCCGAGCTACTGGGCCAAGGCTGATGTTCATTTCCTTGTGGAGTGATTTCGCACTATGGTATTGTGAGTGTAAGAGTGTCTTAGTTATAATGGTTAATACCACGCGATACTGATACCATTCGTTAGAGCTGTTGATCCAAATGTCCCGGATATTTGGGATGGAACAGTGTGATAACCTTATCCTAGGTAAGCTTGAACGTATTAGGTGTAATGAGATGTACCATATTGGCATCCTCATCCCAACATCGCTTGTAAGCTGTAGGACGAGAGTTGTGTCTCCCCGGAGTTGTTCTTGTGATGCTGGTTGCTGCGCAAAGCCGCCTGTTACCCCCGTGCTAGACTCCGACCGAAGCAACAGACATTCAGTCTCAACCATGGTCGACCATTCTAACAGTCCAAGCGAGGTGTGATAAAGTAACTTAGTCCATGCAAGTCTCAGCTCAAGGTAACCCTGAGAGGATGCAATGCTCCCAACAGGGCAAATGAGTGACGTTGCGCTGCCAGATTGACAACCATCAGGGGCATCACCGACAACCCACCACTGACATCCCACGGACGATCGGGAGGTCGGTAATTCAGTCATTCTCCTCCGAGGGCAAAAGTAATTGTATTTTGGTTAGACTTGTGCAGATCGGTCCTATAGTCATCGGATAGTTCACTTCCGCTCTGCGTTTGTGTGTCCTCCTTGCCAGCACATCAACGAAGCTAGACAAGTGCAGTCAAGACTGAGGAGCAATTCGTCCTGAGGAGGAAATTGTGATAGACGTGACAAAAGAAAACTCATCATGAGGTTCAATTGTGTCTTTATGAGGCTTGATGATACAATTTTCGAGAGTGAATTCGTGAACGTTGGTGGATGTTGGCCTTTGGACAATGAGAAAGAACTTGATGACTCGAGGAGCTTGTTACAAGTCAGGATCAAGATGGGTATATAACACCTTGCAAACTACCTCAAACTCTCTCATCATCAGCTCACACCATCAACTTGCTCACTCCCCAACATTAATCGAGCTTCCTCCACAATGCCCTCTCTCATCTCCATCACGATCCTCTTAGGTGCCCTGGCTTCTCAAGTCTCAGCATCACCCGCCAACATCGACAAAAGAGGTCTCAGTCTTCCTCCTCTGATCCCCAAGATCCCAGGAGTAACTGAACCTCTTGCCGATAACGCTCCTCCCCTGCCTATTCTTCAACTCCCTACTCCTCCGTTGGATAGCCCCCCTTTCAAGGTGTCCAACATCAAGCCCAAGAAGATTGGATACTTCTGGACTGGGGCTGGTGATAACAAGCATGCTGATTTCTTGGTCACTGCTAGTCTCGATGATGTAAGTCTGCTGAGTCTATGGTGAGAAGTATGCTAACAGGCTAGGATACCTTTGGTGAAATCATCGACATCACTGATGTCAACACTAGTGGTAACTCACCTCACCATCTAGGCAGTTCGCTCGATGGCAAGACCCTCGTTGGAGGCGGTCTTCTTTCTCTTCTCAAGACCCAAGACACTGCCTTCTACTTTGACACTTCGGACCCATACCATCCCAAGTTTGACCACAGCAACCGCGGTATTCTCGGTTCCATCGTCGATGAGATCCGCGCCAAGCCCGATGGTGGTTTCTTCATTACTTACATGGGTAGCGCTGTCGGTACATCTCCCGGTCGATTGATCGAGACTGATGCCAATGGTAACATCATCCATGAGTGGCCTGAGGATGTTGAGGGCACACTTAACATCCTGGGAGAGCAGTTCTCTCCTCATGGATTGAGTGTGGACTTTGACAAGAACATTATTCTTACTTCTGACTTTGTCGTTCCTATTACGATTCTGAAGCCGACTCTTGGTATTAAGAAGGCTGATACACTGCGCCTCTGGGATCTCAAGTCTCGCAAGATTATCTCTACTATTACTATTCCTAACGTGAGTTGTCCGAGCCAAGATGAGAACACAGCTGACAGTCACAGGGCCAAGGTATCCAAGATGTCAAGTTCATCCCCGGTAACAAGGAGAGTGCAGCTCTAGCTACGTAAGTCCCTCAGCGCTCAACTCCCCTCACTACATACTGACTGACGTGTCTAGTGCTGTTGGACCTGGCCAAGTCTGGATCATCTACCCCTTCCGCAAAGACTCCAAGGGCAACCAGGGTGTCGCCGAACTCCTCTACGATCTCGGCGACAAGGCCAAAGACTCTCTCGCCATCTACTCCGATATTACCGACGACGGAAAATTCGCCTACTTCACCATCACACTCGGCAACCACATCGCCGCTCTTGACATCTCTGATCTTGACAACGTCAAGCGTCTTGACGACCCTGATGAGGAGCAGCCCATCATCGGACCTCACTATGTCAAGATCTCTCCTGATAAGAAGAACCTCCTCGTTACTGGCTACTTTGTTCAAGGTGGAGCTGTAAGTTGCCATTTCTGTGTTCCTTGGATGGGTTTGTACTAATGTTTGTAGATCTCTATCGTCAACACTCCTGGTGATTACAAGGGTCACTGGATTGACATCAACGATGATGGATCGCTTAGCTTCAACCGCACCATTGACTTTGAGAAGATCTTTACCAGGACTCGTGGGGGTGCGCGACCGCACAGCGTTGTCATCTTTGATCTCACTGATCCCAAGAATCCTATCTACTACTAGGTACCTTAGGGAGAGCAATGGCCTGGTGGCTTTGGAGGGGTGATTAAAGCGTAGTATGGTCTGGTCTATAGGGCTTGAGGGATTTTGGTTGGACGATGGACTGGATGCTTGTCGTTTCTTCGTACCTCTACGAGGCCTTCATTCAGGGATGTACTGTGGTGCTTCTCTAAATACTTACATATAATTCTCAATTGAATCTTCAAGTTAGTCATTAATTTGCTCATCTGTTGGACTGTCCCCAGCGAACCTTTAGACGCTGGATCGAGTGCGGGCAATGCCTTTGGCCACTATTTCCCCCTAATACCTCCACTGTGAGGTACCTTAGTGGAGACCGACCTTGACCATGCACCGCCGTGAATAGGTGTGGACGCCCGCATAAATAGGCCATGATCAGCGCCTCAGCCCAGCCAACAACTTGCAGGGATAAAATTGTTAGCCACTGTCAATGGACGTTTCGAAGGATGCATGATGAGGTGCTGTTTGTTTTAAGCGCCCACCTCCCTGCTAGATATAGTACTTAAGCTACCTATGCGTCACTCATCCAAACATTTCTTGTCTCTTTTCTGAGAAACCAATTTGATAATCATCTTGCAACAACATGTCTACTTCAAGTTCTCAACTAGCAGCATCTTTGGAGGCATTGCCCCCAGAGATTTTAATTCCCATCGTAACACGCCTTCCAGGGCTCGACATTCTCTGGGATCTGATGACGGCATCCCCTCACGTCTGGCGTCTCTTCAACGACCATGCCATCACCATCGTCGAATGTATCCTCTCAGGTCCCAATGCAGTAATACCGCCAGAGATTGCAGAGCTGACACGCGCTGTCATACTCGTGCGCAGTCGAGCAGTTCCTTTCGAGAGCCTGAATGAATTCCAGGGCCGGTTCTTACGTAAAGTCGGGCGCAAGTGGAAGGGCAGCAACATGGAAGCCCCTCCAAGACCATCCCCAGACGAAAAGCTGAGCCCTGGATGCTTGTCAGCTGCGATGCCACCTGTCGAGGTTCTCCGATCGGTTGTCGCAACCACTCACCAAATATCTGTCCTTTCGCAAGCATGCTTGACCTCGTTCCTTGACCGTTTGAGAGATCCTAGCTTCAGACCTCTGCACCTTACCAACCCCCAAGACCGGTATGATCGTCACCATAGGCGAGGACCAATTGGTGAATATATCGAAGCCTGGGATCAAGTCTTTACCGGAGAACCTGTGAGTGTGGTTGATGTAGGTCAGCCTACGTGGGTAGAAGAGATGCGAGTTGTGCGTGCTCTATGGTATATTCAGCTCGTGGGTGAAATGCATCACCAGATAGATTGTCTAGAGTGGTCGGATCAGGACATCGAGGGACTGAAAGATATGAATCCCGGCGATGACCGTCACAACCTTGGAAGCCCATACCCTCTGTCACCCGAAGAAGTCAGGTCTGTCATGGGATATCTGGTAACCCTGAAGGAGGCGAAGCAAGATTTGTTCTACCGACTACCACGTCCTCCTCGTTGTGAGAGATGGACTACAGCTTTGCCCATTCGAGGCGAACGATACATGGAGATCGCGGGATACCGGGATGATGGCAGCCCCATCAAGCGGAGCAAGTTTACTGAAGATCGGCTTTGGGGTCGGACCCCAGTGGCATTGGATGGAGACGCCCCTGGAATGTCAATCTTCGAATGCTTGACCAACCCCCCCTCTCACCCTACCAGCGCATCTCCCCTTGAAGGCATCAAATTCGACTCATTCCGCCCCTTCGGCCTTGCAATCTGGGATGCGTGGAGGATGCATCATTTGGGTCTGCACTCCTCGATACTCGAAGGCCAAAGACGCTTGCCCTATGATGCCTTTTATTTCTTCGCTTGGGAGAGTATTCTTCCTCCTGATGAGGTTGCAAGTGTGAAATCCAATCTTCGGGCAAGGAAGAAACGTGACGCTGAAGAGCGACAGGCATCGTGAGCAGAGCAGGAAAGGTTGGGTATTCAGAATCAAGCTGTGTACATGGATAAAACGACACAACAACTGATTATAACCCAAAACTTGTTCACTACTACTAGGCTTTATGACACTTAGAAAGTCGGTTCGGGCCCAGAACACCAGAATAAGCTTTAACCTGATTTAATTCTTGAATCCGGAACACGATATGCTATAATTTAGGTAGACTGATATGTCCTAAGATTCTATTTTAAATTATGAGTAGCATACTTGAGCAGACGACATAATATCCTAAAGACTCTCTCTTGGGTGCAGTTCCTCAAGGAGATGTACGCATCAAGCTCGAGAAGCGTCAACGATATGAAACAGAAGCATAACATGCCATTCCTCTTGTTCACGGCCGACCTCAGTACCCTTAACCTCAAAATTCCCTTCAGGAACAAATACATCGACTTTATTAATGACTCTTGCCCCTCCAAGTCTGTTTTTGTGGTTAATCAGCATGAAGGCTGCTCCTGAGCCGTTGGGGCTACCCAGGATGGCGTAAAGTTCCTTTGGATCTTTTTGATGGGTGATGGCTATTCTTTTCTTCCACGGGCCCAAGGACTTCTTCTTGTGGTCTCTCTCATATTTGTTGAGAATGGCCTGGAATACGATCTTGAGAGTGGCGTGGTTCACAATCTGGGCACGGATGATGTACTTTAGATCTTCGACATCTCCGCCCGATTCAGAGCAGACTCTGTCCTATCGTTCAAGTTAGAATAGCATCCGAATATATATCGAGTTTTGCGTTTCTTACCCACTGCATCCAAGCAGCATCGCTCCACTGGTATCCAAAGTTAATAAACTCACAGCATAGGGACCGAATTCTTACCTGTTGTATATGGGTGAGAGCTGTTGTCTCCTTGTCTATTGGAGATGATTGTCCCGCGGCATGTCTTACCCCGACGTTGTGGTCGGCAATGATGACGCCTGGGTTCAGAGAAAAGGAGCTCGCAAAGTTTGCCCCAGTGGCCTATTCAGTGTCAGTAACAATTGCCTCTTGACGTTGTAATGCTCTTCTGCATCAAGTTGCACACTTGACCTACCGCAACTGCTTTTACTTCAACTTCATCTAGGTCTAGAGTACCATCGAGAAAGCCGGCGGGGTCAGAGTACCAATCACCCCCTCCAACATTCACCCAATTGTAGTGGTACAGGTTGGTAGGAGCTCCGATACCCTTTAACGCCTCATTCAAACGATCTCCAAAGGTTGGATTTTGGTTCGCTTGTTTTTCCCAGCCTTCATAGTCCTCTAAGCCATGTTTTTGGAGATATGAGGGCGACTCTGCAGACTTTCCGTTCTTGGACTGAAGTGCTGCTTGAGTCGCCTTCATATCACAATAGAGTGCTTCACCCTTCTTCAGAGCTATCTCATAAGGATCCGTGGGTGGGTTGTCTTCCCGTTTGGAGACGTGAGCAGGGGCAGGGGAGTAGTGAAAGTCATGATCAACTCTACCAGGATCTGAAGAGGATAATCGGAAGGATGGGACAAAAGAGAAACGGAGGAGAAAGAGGGAGAAAATGAGGAGGGAGATTGAACACAAGGTGACCCTCCGCGAAATACTGCGTTTGGTATACATCGTGGACAGTTTCATGAGCATTCAGCAAGATTGTAATAATGGAGATGACATAGGATAATTCCGATAGCTGTCTGGACTGGCAATGAATACATAGTTATAGTCTAGCACGAAGATTAACACTAAATATTAACCCGAGAGACCAAACCGCTTTGCTTTGCAAGACTACCTTGAGTTCAGAAGGACTCTTGGTGCCAGGGCCGAGCTCGTGTAATTGCCGGAACAGATGGGATGGGGGCTGTTGGTCGTACTGTTTCATTGATCCTACTGCGCCTTGCATTGTTGGTTGAACCTTGCCAAAATCAGGACAGGACATGAGGCTTTTTCTGCCACTCCCAGGAAGGATCAGAGATAGAGTGGGCGTGTTGTTGGTTCTGATCTTGAGATCTTCATCGGCGCTTCAAGTGGTGCTGTGATTGGTGGCTGTAACAACGGAGCCGGGCCGCACCACGGACCCCGGCGTTTCATATACAACGTCGGCAGTTTATTTTATTTCGGGTCCGTGTGGTTACACTCGAGGATTCTTTATCTTGTAAGCTTAAACCAACAGCATCGGAGGTATAGAGCCAACAGCATCATATCATCACGTCGTAACAAGGCAGACTCTTTGTTGCCCTCCAATCAGAGAAGCACGGCATGAATCTTACAATGGGAATTGGTTCCTGCATGATTCGACTGCAGCCACTTCTTATTTTTGTCCTCCGCCCAGGCCCAGGCCTATCTATGTCTTGGCCCCCAATGCCTGCGTCGTTTACCGCCGTCTACCGCGCGGAAGGGTTCAGCCCCAATGCGTTCGCTGCCACAAGCGCTCTCCTTCTTCAGGGTGAATAAAGTCACTATTTGACCGTAACTGGAGTAACGAATTGCTGAAAAGAAAGCATGAGTGTTGAAGGCCGTTCTTAGCAAAGCATACCAGAGCAGTCAGATCTTGCCGAGTCCACAGTGATTGAAGCAAATTCTGTCGTGCCAAGGCCCTAATTTCGAAATTATTGGAGTTGAATGTTACTCTATGTTGGTTCAACGAAGCTGATCCTCCATAGTCATCAAGGCGCCCAAATCTTGTGAGCATTTCTGACTGGGGCAACTCCATCATATCCTTGAATGATCACAATTTCCGAATAGTTTCGCCGTAGGATCCTCTCGCATGGATATTCTGAGGTATTTCAGAACCAACAGACCTAACCTTCAAACTCCAAGTCGTGTGGTGGATGCCATACTCAACCAACACAAGACGCAGCCGACTTGACCACCAAGGCACACTTGCTCACGATAACAGTAGGATCCAATCAAGGACTAAACATGACTCACGATCGACAATTTTAGGATCAAAAGAAGAAACCTCCGTCTCATTTCTCCTGCGCCTTTTTATTAGTGGGTTGCCAAACATCCTGGAACCAACAACTGTTCACCAACAGCACTGATGAAAATGCCTCCGAGGCGAAGTCAATGATAGTTGGGGGCCGTGGTACCTTTGATGGAAAGACTGATAGATTAGATATGTTTCTTCCCGTTATGAGGATCGACTTATAAGAAGAAAGGGATAAAGTCACTTATGTTTATCACAAATGGCATCGTCATTCTATTCTTATCAAAAACCTCAGTAATATATCTCTACCTAACTTGCCAACAACAACACTCCTTATGCCGCCATTCACGCTTCAGGGCGCCATCATGATGATGATGGTGCTCGTAGCACTCGTATCACCGCTTGCTTCAGCACTTCCTAGTCTTCGCATACTACCCCTCGGAGACTCAATCACCAAAGGCAACGGCTCAAAAGACCAAAAAGGCTACAGGAACCGTCTCCGTGAGAAGCTCATAGGCCGCGGTACCTCAGTAGACATGGTCGGTAGCTTGAAGCACCCTCCGACTGGCATGGCAGACAATGACCACGAAGGCCATAGTGGAAAGGTCCTTGCGCAGATCAATACCTACTGGAAGCTGTCCATCGCAGCACGCCCCAATGTTGTTCTTGTACATGCCGGCACAAACAATATGGACCTAGAGGTTGACCTTGAGGGCTCTCCTAACATGCTAGCGTCCATTATTGATGGGCTTTTCCAGAATGCTCCAGATACCACGGTTCTTGTTGCTCCTGTAATATGGGCAAATAACCCCAGAATGCAAAAGAACACTGATCGCTTCAACCCTCAAGTCATTTCCATCATTGAGGAGAGACAAAAGGCTGGAAAGCATATCCTCCAAGTCCCAATAGACATCAATGCAGGTGATCTTTCGGACGAGAAGCACCCAAACGACAGTGGCTATGAGAAGATGGCCGACGCTTGGCTGAAAGCAATCCTCGAGGCTGACAAACGAGGTTGGTTGAAAGCACCCACCAAGATAGACGCTGCTGGTCTTCCTGGCGTTGGTCTCGGTGTCGGTGGAGGAGCAGGAGGCGCTCAAGAAGAAATCGTTGGTAAGATCTGGAAGAAACAAGGAACTGTCTTTGAAGGTTTCCGGACCTGGGAGGCTGTCGGAACCATCAGAGGTTCTGCTGAGAACTCCTCACGCGAAAAGGTCATTCTGGCTGATCTGAACGGCGATGGCATCGCTGATTACGTCCTTGCTGATAAGGATGGTAAGATGCGAGCATGGATCAACGGAGGCAAGCCTAATGACTGGAAGAGTATCGGTTATATCAACCCAGACTGGAAGTCTGTCAATGGCGACATGATCCGTCTCGCCGATGTGGACAACGATGGCAAGGCAGATCTCATTGCTTTATATGAAGATGGCGCTGCAAAGGTCTGGAAGAACGTGGACAACGGAAAGAAGTTCGAGCCCCTCGATTCCGAGTGGGCAACCGGTCTTGCGTCTCGAGACAAAGTTCGGTTTGAGGACATTGATGGCGACGGGTATGCCGACTATGTTATCGTGTATGGGGGTGGCGCTGTCAAGTGGGCGCGTAACACGCACAACAATGGCAAAGACAGCAGCAAAAAGAACTGGGAGACTGAAGCCACTATCGCCCCAGGACCAGCTGGTATACCACAAGACTCTACCAGTATCCGAGATATTGATGGCGATGGAAAGGCTGGTGAGTTTTGAGTGCTCGGATAGGTGTACTGATATACTAACTCGGCGTAGATTATCTTGTCATTTATCAAGGCGGCGCTGTAAAAGCGTTCCGCAACACCCTGAAAGAAGGCGGCCGTAACTGGGATGACTTGGGCACAATTGCCCCTGGCATAGAGGGTGTCACAGGCGATATGATTCGCTTTGCCGACATGGACGGCGATGGCTTGGCCGACTTCCTTGCTGTTGCAGATGATGGAAGTATCCGCATGTGGAAGAACCTTGGTATCACCGGAACCAAAGGTCAGAGCATCCGCTTCGCCGACTTGACGGGTGAAGGAAGAGATGACTTGATCTCCGTCGACTCTAGAGGACGAGCTCGGGCTTGGATCAATAAGGGCGACAACAAGTGGGAAGCAATCGGCGAGATCGCGCCGGGTTTCGACGAGGATCTCTCAGACTCACGTATCGAGTTTATCGATATCAACGGTGATAAGCGCGCTGACTACTTGATCATATACGGCGGAGGAGCTGTCAAGGCATATCTCAACAACGGCAACCTACCTGACCCTGGTGATAGACGCATCTGGCAAGATGGTATTACTATTTCTCCAGGTGTCGGTGAGCCAGGGAGCAAGGTCCGGTTTGCAGACCTTGATGGCGACGGGTACGCAGACTTCCTCATCCTCTATGAAGGCGGAGCAGTCAAGTACTGGCAGAACAACAAGAACATACCACCCAGGAACGGTGGCCGCATCTGGAAAGAGGGCATCGTTGTAGCCACTGGTGTTGGGGAGCCTGGAAGCAAGGTCCGGTTCGCGGATCTCACAGGAGATGGCAAGGCAGACTACATCGTTCAGTATGACGGCGGCGCTGCTCGAGGGTATCGCAACAATGGCAAGATTCCGATTGGTGAGGGACGCAAGTGGAATGACATGGGGACTATCGCAGCAGGTGTTAGTCCTCAGGGTCCTGTTCATTACGCGGACATCAATGGGGATAGGAAGGCTGACTATCTTGTTGTCTTTGATGGGGGCGCGGTTAATGCGTATCTCAATAATCACGACTGGGCACCGAAGCTACCGGATAATCCTGGTGAACCTATTCCCGTTGAGCCCGGTACTGGTGGAGGAGGTGGTGGTAGTGGCGGAGGTGATGGTAATGATGGCGGCGGTGACGATGGAGGCAATGATGGAGGTAACGGCGGAGGAGGTGACAGCGGTGATGGAGATGGAGACGGAGATGGAGACAATGGTGGAGGCAACGACGGTGACAAAGGCGTTGTCTACATTGATCCCAGTATCTGGGACTCCAAGAACCCTACAGCAGGTTGCCAACCACCTTGTACCCTCATCCTCCCACCTTGGCAACTCTCATCCAAGACTACGATCAGCTTCCCCATCATCACTGAGACATTCAAAGAGACATGGCCAGAGACTACCAGCGGTGTTACCAAGTACGGAACAACAACTATCACTGTCAAGATTACACTGCCGCCTCTCACGACCTCGGAGATTGGCGTGTCCAACGTGATACTGACAGAGTCCACGTCCAAGTCTGTGCCTGTACGCGTCAGTGTTATTCCATCCCCGGTTACGTTAACCGAACCAACCCACGGAATTACCTACACCTACAAGCCTGGGCCTCTTCCGAGTGATGATGTGGATATTGGACCTCCACCAGGCATCGCTCCAGGTGTCATCATCACTGCTGGACCTCCAGGGCCTATCTGCAAGTCTGGCTGCGGTAAGCCGTGTTTGTTCGGTTGCACCCCAGGTGGAGGTGGTGGAGGAAGCGGTGGTGGCTCGATTGGGTGCATCGGCGGAGGATGTCCTGGACCAGGAGGAAACTGTGTTGGACCTGGATGTGAGAAGAACAACGATGATGACAACGACGACGACGACGATGATGATGATGATGATGACGATGAGGACTGCGCTACAGAGACAAACACCGAGTGTCATCAAGTCTGCACGACAAAGCCC